CCATGCTTAGAAATCTCCAAGACACATTTATACCACCCAAAGTTCAATAATCAAATCATTTCATTATGAATTCCAAATTTTCACAAAATATATAACACTTTAGCATATATGCACAAAATCAAAAATTCAAGTAAGGTAAGTGTGTTTATGAACACTAACCTTAAAAACAAGCTCTAACAAGCTTAACTAAAACTCTTTAAGCATTAGCTTGCCCTTCTCTTTGGTAGAAGATTGTCCACCCTCTTACCCAAATAGGAAAATCTTCAAATTTCTTGAAATTAGTCACCAAAAATTAATTCTCTAGCTTCACTCTCAAAGATTAATTACTTAACTCAAGTTGGATGAGGTGAATTTGGTGGATTTAGCAAGTACAAGTTGAAGAAAAACAAGGAGAAGAAGGAGAGGAAATTGGCGTTGAAGAGAAGAAGAAGAAGAGAAAAAGTGGTTGCTCAATTATTGGAGTTGATCTTTAGCAACTAAGGGTGTTTGGTCTTTGTCCACAATTGGATGGCTAAGATGTGTGAAGTCAAAAAATTATCTCATCAGTAAGCTAAAAATATTCTCCAATTCAATTCCTTCAAAATATTATTTAATCTCCACAAATTTTCTCAATTACTCCATAAAAATATTTCCTCAAATTTCCTTAATTAAATAAGCATTCCATAATTCACTATTCACTATACTAAATTCTCCCAAAAAGATTCATTACTACTTTCTACCCATAAAAATCATGCATACATACTCCAAAAAAATTAAAGAAAATATAAAACATATATAGTAATTTTTCCGGACCAAAATAATACCGATTCGGGACCTTGGTAAAATAATACCGACTTCCGGACCGGTAGTACTATTCACAGACCGGTAAATCACTATCCATTCATAGTTACTTATACTCAATATCTTCCTCGGATCTACATAAAATGTTATCCCCCTCTCTGTAACACCATTCATGACCCGATAAAATAATATCATTTTATGATTCGAAAATTTTGGGGCGTTACACTTTTGCTTCGGTTACAAAGATGAACACCATCGAAGTCCTATTGTGCTGTGCAGCCAACCTGGACTGAAGCATGCAACAATTTGACTTGAAAAATGCTTTTTTGCATGGTGATCTAGAAGAAGTATACATGGATATTCCTATAGGCTTTGATACTGAGAAAACCAAAGGTAAGATTTGTAGATTGAAGAAAGCATTATATGGGCTGAAATAATCACCTAGAGCATGGTTCAACAGATTCAGTAAGGCCATGATTTCCTTCAGTTATTCTCAAAGAAATGCTGATCATACCTTGTTTATCAGACACAGTTATGGTAAGATCACTTTACTAGTTGTCTATGTTGATGATATGGTCGTGACTGGAGATGATGAAGAGGAGATTGTTCGCTTAAAGAAGTTGTTGGGTTTGAGATTAAGGACTTAGGGGGTCTGAGATACTTTTTGGGTATAGAAGTTGCTAGATCGGATAAAGGGATCTTTCTCTCTCGAAGGAAATATATCCTGGATCTCCTAAAAGCAACTGGCATGTTGGGTTATAAACCAGCTGATTCTCCCATTGAAGTTAATCACAAATTGCAAGCAGGAATGGGAGAACCGGTTGACTTGGGTCAATATCAGAGATTGATAGGCTGATTGATTTATCTCTTACATACTAGGCCTGATATAGCATATGTTGTAAGTCTAGTTAGTCAATATATGCATGATACACGTAGTTCTCATCTTGAAGCTTTCTTTTGCATTTTAAGATATTTAAAGTTTGCATCTGTAAGAGGTCTACTTTTCTCTAAGCATGGTCACCTAAAAATTGAAGCATTTTCTTATGCTAATTGGGCTGGATCTCCAGATGATAAGAGGTCAACTTCTGGTTATTGTACCTTTGTTGGAAGAAACTTAGTTACTTAGAGAAGTAAAAAGCAGATTGTAGTGGCCCATTCGAGTGCAGAAGCGGAATATAGAACTATGGCTCAGGGGGTCTGTGAACTGTTATGGCTAACGAAAATAATGGAAGAACTACGAATGTCGAAAGGAGAAGATTCGAACTTGTTTTGTGATGACAAGGCTGCCATTAGTTTTGCTCAAAATCTAGTTCAGCATGATCGGACAAAGCACATAGAGATTGATAGAGATTTTATAAAAGAGAAAATCATCCAAGGTGTTTTGAAGCTTACTCATGTGACTTCGAATAATCAGACTGCAGATGTTCTTACTAAAAGGCTTAATAGCAAACAGTTCCATAATTTGGTTTGCAAGTTGGGTATAAGCAAATATCTATGCACCAACTTGAGGGGGAGTGCTGACTTGTGGATAAACTATTTAGAAGTTTACATCTCCTAACTAGAATCAGATTTGGTTTCCTATTCAAACTTTTATTCTTGTGTATCTTGTGTATAAAAGGGTGTATTGATGTCATTAAATCTACTGAAAATGGAGAAATAATTTTTATGCTCTAAGATTTCAAGTCAATGCTACCCCCACTCTAGAGCTATCTAAGCTAATTGATGGAGAATTTGTCATTACACCTGAAAAAGTGCTCAACACTCACACCATTTCAGTAAGAGACTCTTATGTTCAGCAACTATTGATTAAGTGGGTGAACCTATCTGCTTTAAATGCTACTTGGGAAGACAGCTCTTTCATTAAACAGCAATTTCCCTAGTTTTTCCATTCTTGTGGACAAGAATGCAGTCAAGGAGGGGGTATTGTTACATATAAGAGAAAGGGTAGAAATATACTTATGAATTAATACAGCTAAGAAACAAAATTAGTTAGAATATTCCTATAGTACTAGACACAGCTGATGTGATATCTATTGTCCTTTATATTCTGCTATAGTCCTTTATTCTCTTTTTTTTTTCCCTCTTTATTCTCTTTTTTTTTTTTTCCCTATATGTATACGTCTCGTTAGAGGCAAGAGCATCCAATTCACTAATACAATCAATTCCTCTCTCTCTCTCTCTCTCCTTTTCTTCTCCAATTCTGCTTTATCTTTCTATTCTCAGACCTGCTGCATCTCTACCTATATATATATATATATATATGTGTGTGTGTGTGTGTGTGTATCTATATAAAAAATATATTTTTTAATATCCATCTTGAGGAATGAAAAGATAAATTGATATATAATTAATATATATCTCACCCTCATTTTGTATATTACATAGATTTTACTTTAATTTAATAGCATCATCTAAATGGGATGTAATTAATAGATATTATCTTGATAAAGACATTATCCAAAAATAATTATCCGAAAATATAAAACAACTGATCTCCTTATAATTGTGCACTGCTCTCCTTACACATAAATTTCTCTGCTTATATTACACATAAATTTCTCTGCTTATATTATATATATAATATATATATATATATAATATATATATTATATATAGGTATAGAAGATTACCATATAAAAATAATGTCCCTCTTTTCTCAAATATATTTCATTTTAATTTTAGTTTTGGTTATTTAACAAAATTTATTAAATTTTTTGTTTGTTAAAAGCAGGGAATTCTTTGGATTTGTTAATTTATTAAAAGATTTTACCTATATATAAACATTTTTATAATATTTGATGTTATTATTATTATTATTATTATTATTATTATTATTATTATTATTATTATTATTAATGGATTATATTAAAAAAAAGAATGTCAGAGTTATTATTGTTATTATTATATTTAATAACTCATTTAAACAATAATATTATTATATTTTGCAATTTACCCCCGCCCCAAAGCTGACAGGCTACAAGTAAAGTTTCACAGTTGCCATCAATTAGTTTGTCTATATCATGTAAATGCGAATTAGTTTTAGACTAAGAAAATCACGATTTTATTTTTATATTTTATCAAACTTAATTAATAGTTTTAGAAATACATTATTTTATCCCTAATTTTTTTTTTTTTTTTTTTTTTTTTTTTTTTTTTTTTGAAAGAGATGTTATCCCTAATTTCGATTCCATTAAACTTCCGTTAAATATCTACAAAAAAGACAAAATTATCTTCCATCTTCTTGCTCTCAATTCTCTTGCCTACTGCCTTCTTCCTCTCCGCTCAATCTTTTAACCAGAGAAAAAAAAAAATTTCCAGAATTTGCAGGGCCCAGATCTCCCCAATCCCAACTCTATGCCAATCCATAAATCCAATCCCAAATTTTTTTTTTTTTTTTTTTTTTTTTTTTTTGAAAGAGATTTTATCCCTAATTTTCGATTCCATTAAACTTCCGTTAAATATCCTACAAAAAGACAAAATTATCTTCATCTTCTGCCTCTCAATTCTCTTCCTCTTCCTCTTCCTCTTCCGTCTCAATCTTTTAACCCAGAGAAAAAAAAAATTTCCAAATTTTGCAGGGCCAAGATCTCCAATCCCAACTCCTACTGCAATCCATAAAATCCAATCCCAAATCCTACTACAACCCATACGATTTTATCCCTCAAGAAGCATTCACACTCGCAAGTGGAAAACAGGAGAGTAAAAACGAAGAGAGGAACAAAAATCCATCCCCATTGTTACTCCAACCCATACGATTTCTACAAACTTGAACTGCTATTGAAAAGGAAAGCATGGCGTTTCTCAGTCTCCCTTCGTCTCTTACAGTTAAAGCCACCTTGCGTCTTGTATTAACTGCACCCATCATGACCTCGTCTTCTCAGTTTCGGCCAACCAATTTAATCTGAAATTCAACGAAATTAGCAACTAGGTCGTTGATTTTCGATCCAAAACTTTGAATTTAATGCTCTCTGGAGCTCTCACACTCGGCCTCTCTCTTTCAGGCAAATATGGTTTTGGCTTTTGATTAATGCCTTACAGATTTCCAATTGTATGGTTACCGTTAAAATAATGTCATTTTAGTTTTGCGGCAGATTCACATTCACAAAACAATTGTGGGAGAGGGAGTTGAGACGTAGAAGATGAGGATAATCTCGTCTTTTAATAGGAAAATTAACAGAAAAATCTTAGAAATTAGACAGGAGGGATACAAGAGTTTAAAGGAGACAAAACATAAGAAAATTTTAGTGTAATATTCAAAATAAATTCACTTTAAAAGTGTTCTTTTCTACATCAGTTCATACAAGAATGTCAAATACACCCTTACAAATGTCAGTCTCCTCCTTTACGTTTTCTATAATTCTCTCTTCCCATTTTGCACTTTAAGCTGGTGAAAATATCAGAGTAAATTATGTCCAAAATTTGCACAGTAAGCTTTCGACCTCCTTCAAAAAGCATTCATTAGCTTCAAAATCAACAGCGTTGGTCTACATTCAACGTTCTCTGAAGTTCCCCAGTGAGATCATCGAGATCAATGATTTCTTGCTGAGTTGTTTTTTCCATCTTTATCTTTTCAAGCTCCAAGTTCAGTGTTGAAATCTGCTTTTGCAATTTTGCCCCACCGTCTGGTAATCTTGAAACAGTAACCTGTCAATAGTTTTCAGTAGCAAAAGTGAGAAACTTGGAACAGTTGAATAAAAGGGTTAAACAGTTATAAATCATACCTTATTCCCCAGTATTTGTGCCAGCCGATTGATCTGCTCTTTGATTTGAGATTCAGACAGTTTACCAACACTATCAGGAGAAGCGTTTTTCTTATTTAGTTTTACATCCTTTGGATTGAAAGCATGCAAGGCCCTATCAACAAATAATAGTCAGCAATTACTGCACCGTAAAACTTTAAAAGTATGTATGTAGAGGTCAGATCCATATCCATACCCATCAATATTCTGCTCAAGTGAATGATTTGATGAATTTCCAACAAATCTCGTCCCTTTTTGCCTGAATACAGAATGCAAGTCCCAAGAAAACACATTGTAAGGTTACATCTCCCTAGCGTATAAGATGTTCGCTTGCACAGCAATAAATAAAAATATGAGCACCTTTGATTGACATGCACTGTTTACGATTGATGAAAACAAGCACTTCACTGTTTATTGTATGTTATTTTGTTAGACATACACTCATAGATGCTTTTTGTGTACAGATTGCCCAACTTATTATTTTGTGGTTTCAAATCCGAGCAGTAAAATCATGCAAATGGAGAAGACTTTTAATTTATGAAAATATCTATTGATCCAACAGTTTGAATATATGTAGAAAGCATAACATGGAAGCAAGAAACAGAAAAATATGCAACCACAAAGCTATAGTTAATATTCTAATCTACCCAATTGTTTCACCTAAAAGAACGAAGGAACACTAGGAATTTACCTTATCTCTTCCTCTTCTACATTTTCAACTTGTACAGGTGCTGTCTTGGAGAAGAGTAAACTGTGGTGACTAACTCCTGCTATACCTTTAGTTTCCAAGAACTTTACATGGGCTTCCAATGATTCATCCCTACAAAAAAAATAAAATAAAACAATAGCAGCATTACATATGACAATTTCTATTTATGACAGTCATTGCAAACACATGCACACAATGCAAATATAAAAAAGGAAAACAAAGATTAATTAAACTTCATAAAAGTCTTTCCAAAGCATATGCATGATGAGAATTAACATTAAAGGAGAACAATGATAATGGAAGGTCTAAATTATACAGCAATAAATTAACATTAAAAAGTATTGCCTACACTGCACCCAATTTAAGCAAATAGTTGCTTGTTATAGCCAAAATCTGATATACAGTTTAAATTCATGCCACAAAAGCAAAGCAAACGTAGGTAAGTGCATGCAATATTTGGTTCTGATCGACTCCATACATGTTATACTGCCAGTCATGCTCTTCATGTAATTGCTGTTGCGTAAGGGAAATATCAAACCCCTGCTTTGGGAGGCTGAATAGCTCCCGTAAATCCTGAAAGAATCACTTGAGCATTAACAAAGAAAATATTTGAAAAATGGTGCCTTAAATTTAATCTAATTAAAAAATAAATTAGGCAGGCATGTACCTGCTGGCTGAAGTACCGGATCTGTTCCTTGTGTTCAGTTGCAGTTTTAAATAATCCCCCTTTGAATATCTGAACCAAAGGTTTGAGTCCAAATGATATCACTATACTTACATCTCATCTTTATTTATGTTCAATTGAACCCACATATAACCAGATATTAAAAATTGAAGGAGATATTTCAGTTACTCCAAACACCAAAACATCATGGAGATATATGCATTTAAAGAAATATTTTATGCAATTCATAAGCAGAAGAATCAATAACTCAAAGATTATCACTTGTTATATGTGCATGTTCAACTTCCACAGTGTCAACAAATAAATTGCAACTGGAACAAAAACTTCTCCATATCCATAAAATGGCTATATTTAATAAAATGTTCAGAAACATTGCTTTTCAGCCACCTGCAGGAATGTACTGAATAATGGCCAATCGGCAGTATCAACAACTGATGATGTGAATTTGTATGCATGATAATACTAATCACAACAATAAGTGTAGATAAAATGGCTACATTTAATAAAATGTTCAGAAACATTGCTTTTCAGCCACCTGCAGGAATGTACTGAATCATGGCCAATTGGCAGTATCAACAACTCACCATGTGAATTTGTATGCATGATAATACTAATCACAACAATAAGTGAAAGATGAGAGACTAATCCTTCACCTGCTTTCTGTATATCTTTTCTTCAACTGTTCCGCATGTCATCAATCTATACACGAGGACATCCTTCTTTTGGCCAATTCGATATGCACGATCAACACTTTGGTTATCAGTGCTGCAAACATGGGTAAATCAGTACAAATAAAAGTTACAGCAGTCAAATTCTTAACAAAGAAAATCAGGTAAAAAAGAAAATATTTCATCAGCCTTATAATTTGTGCATTACTCTGGAACTTGTTAGACTGCTGTAATTAGGCTGCGGTTTTGTGCAATAATTAGGGGATTAATGCGCTGTAATTAAGGGATCCATATGCTGTAATTATGGAATTAATTACTCCATCTAGAATTCTTTGTAGTATATATACCCAATAGATTTGAGGGAATAATCAAGCTAAAGCTTATCAAGCTCCCTCTCCGCTAAATCGCTTTTTCTCCCTTCCTTTCTTACAGAACTAGACTAAACAGAGAAGAAAGAGCAACCAAGGCAGTGTTTGGATTTGAATTTTCAGATAAATTCCTTTAAAGAAATTTAAATCACACACTTCTTTATTAGAGTTCAGTAAATTCATGCATGGGAATGACAACTTGAGTGAAATTTGAAATAACCACAAAGGACATGTAATCTTGAATGCGCCTCTTCAATATGGCAGGGCAAAAAGACCTCCTAAGTCCAAATCTTTCTTGGTACTAGCATTTCAAATTATCTATTAAAACACAAGATGTAAAATACTCGAAATCCGCACAAAAAACAAGGAGTCTACCCTGCTAGATTATGGCGATCTGTAAGTATACCCCATAATTTGATTTGAGGATTTCCAGAATGTTTTCATGATTTCACTGAAATGGAAACTAAATCCTTTATAAAGAATAAAATGGAAACTTTCCAAAGAGCATAAACTTATTTATCAAGTTTCTAACTAATAGAATGGTAAAGGTGGAATAATAGTGCTGAATAGGTTCCCTCTAAGACAAGCCAGATTCATGTTTAGGTTACTTTATGCATATGGATAGGAATATATTGCACAAATTAGTTATCTATGGAACTTGGCCTATCATGAAAATTAAGTTAAGGCAGTTCAGTCCATGATTTATAAAAAACTATCACACAATTAAAATATTCACTTAAATTTCACAGGCCAAAGATACATCCTGCGCAATATTGATCGCGCAGAAAGATCAGTTCAGGACCATTGCAAATAAGCCAATACTAGGTTATATATCCAGTAATCTTTTCATCAATATTTACTGAACTTGAAAGAAAGAAAAAACTTTAGTAAGCACCTTGGATTCCATGCAGGATCAACCACAATGACCCGATCTGCTTTTGTAAGTGTAAGGCCAAGACCACCAACTTGGGATGTTAGGAGGAATATAGGAGCCCCGACACCTTCTTGGAAATCCTGAAAGGAAAAGAAAATTGAAGATTTTAGAGAGAGTTAAATAAATCAGAAGCAGATAAACTTTTTTTTTTTCGTTTCAGGATACTTAACATTAACAATCTTCACTCTATCACTAGCTTTAGTGGTGCCATCAATGCGTAAAAACCTGTAATTGTTAGACACTAGGGATTCCTGTAAGAACCGAAGATGAGTCACAAACGCCTTCTAGAAAAACCTAACATAGCAAAAATAATTCCAAGTGAAAAAGATACAAAATGCTTACTAGTACAACAAAATTTATAAGCGTTAAAAATCAAAAGCACATAAACGTTCTGAATAGATACACCCATATGTTTTCCCAACTCTTTGACTATCAATATCTATATAACAAAAAGGAAAACAAAGAAATTATTCCTCTCAAACATGCTAATAGAGGAATTAATCAAATGATACCACATTTCAATACACATATATCCAATTACCCAAGTTGGACATAGTACATCTACAATCTCAAAGATATGAATGATACTTAATCTCTAATGCCAAACAAACTTCAGGTTCAACTTCAAATGGATGATGCAGATGTCGAAATGTGAAGTATATTTGGGTGGTCACACTACAGGCACCATATTGCTTTTGGAACTTTCTCTATCCTTATGCTAAACAAAGACCTAATCCCGTCCAAAAAGTTGTTGCAATTTCTATTAGTACTTGTTCCAATTTTGTCCCACAATTTTGATAGAGGATCATGCATTTCCCTTTCTTTTCAAAACAGAATGTCAGGTTCTTCAAAAGATGCTGATTCTTGCCAACTAAGATTGATTGGGATGGTATTCTGTAATTCAGTAGCAAGGTGGGATGAGTTCCACGTACCAGGATTGGGGACGGTATTCCCATTTGAGGAAGAGATGCACAACTACTAACATATATATGTCAAGATATTGATCTCAATACAAGGAAAAATAAAATTGTTGTCCAACAGAATAGGAGAAAAATGTATTTAAAGTCCGCACTCGTTCAGTGTGTATTAGTAAGCAATCCATGCATTAGGGCATAGTTGACTTTTCTATTGATCCCGTGTAGATTATATAAATATACTTTCATATTCAAATCCCTATGAATCAAGCATGAAAAGCAAACCACATCAATCAATCAAGATTCGAATTGAAATATCAAATTTATTGATTCAATCTATTAAAAGACAGAATTCAGGACATATATTTGCATGTATATGCAGGACAGAAATGCATAGATTATAGAGGGGCAAAACAGGTAAAAGAAGTCATCAAGTTTAGAGCGGGGAAGGGAACACCGAAACTAACATCCATTGTCGATACTCACACATGGGTGGAGCCTAATCAAATTAAGGATAAAAAAGAAATGAGCACAAACACATCAAATGAACAGGCAGATAGAGTGAAGTATAGACAGAGAAAAAGAGAGGGCTGTCTCTCTAAAGGAAAAGGAATTATACAAGTTGGTTAGATTTTCTTTGCTATTGATTCCAATCAAAAAAAATTTTCAATATCATCCTGAGAGTTCATTCTTCAAATTTTTTTCGAACAAATATAGCATAGTTATCATAAATGCTGACTTTTAGAAGCATGTTGGAAATATGAGAAAAAGGAAGAGTCTGGGGCACATTTGTAGAGAACAATTCCCATAAGATGTTCAATTGGAATTTTCTAGGGCTTCTCATGCATGAATGCCATGTATCTTTAGCGGACCATGATTTTATTGCGCATACATATCTACAGGAAAGGGAAATTAGAGTACATAATGCATTTGGAATAATTCATCCCGCACTCATGCACCAGTTATAGAGTTAGTTTATTAAACTAGATGAATTTTTCTCTCTTATTCCACTTCTTTCCTTGATCATTTAAACTTTCACCTACAAGGTCCCATTCCCTCCATGGGCAATCCTGAAACATTTCCTGACTGCTTTCCAACAGAAAAAGGTTCAACTTGTTTGTCAACTAAGGAAAGAATATTGGCAGACTTGAATGTTCTTTTAGAATGAAAACAAATTGAATAAAAGAATCAATGACAACTGGCAAAGGCGTATTGCTCAATGAAAGTAACAGACCTGAAGTTTCCAATGCAGTCTACTTCCCATCTTCTTTTAAAATTAAAAAAATAAACTAGATGAATTTTTCGTCTTCTTATTCCCCCCCCGAACAGACTTCTTTCCTGATCATTTAAACTTTCACCTACAAGGTCCCATGTCCCTCCATGGCAATCCTGAAACATTTCTGACTGCTTTTCCAACAGAAAAAGGTTCCAACTGTTTGTCAACTTAAGGAAAGATATTGGCAGAACGTGAATGTTCTTTTAGAATGAAAAACAAATTGAAATAAAAGAATCAATGAACAAACTGGCAAAGGCGTATTGGCGTCAATGAAAGTAACAGACCTGAAGTTTGCCAGATGCAGGTCTTACTTCCCATCTTTCTTTTAAAATTAAAAAAAAAAAAAAAATATATATATATATATATATATAATATATATATATATATATATATATATATAAGGAATAGAAAAAGGAATTTTATTAAACAGAATTAACAACGTAAGCCAATTAACGCAAGGGACAGGCCGCAGCAGTAGCCACAAAGTTCGACAAAGGTTGCTTGAAGAATATCTGAATGGTGATTTGCGATAGATTATGATATTGGTGTTAATCCTATAGTAGGATATATATAAGGAATAGAAAAGGAATTTTATTAACAGAATTAACAAGTAAGCAATTAACCAAGGACAGGCCCAGGCAGTAGCACAAAGTTCACAAAGGTTGCTTGAAGAAATACTGAATGGTTGATTTGCGATAGATTATGATATGGTGTTAATCCTATAGTAGGAAAGGTACCATGATAATGATATTTGCTAATCAAATTCAATGATGCAAGGAACCATAGTGATTTATGTTAAACCTTCATAACTACAACTATAAAGAACCTAAAATTGGGTAACAAAATGTTATATTGCAGTCAAGACAACACACCGGAAAATCATAATTTTAAACAAACCTGGATAAGATTAAGCATCTTGCGAGTTTGCGAGAAGATAAGAACATTATGCCCCTTTGGAATTAAATCATCCTGTGAAAAGCAACACATGCATTTAAAAAACGCTATTAAATACCATAAACAGAGCATGAACATACTTCAAATTATCTAAAGCATCTTCAGGCATTTCTAACCAATAGTGACAGTATAAAAGATATCTTGCATGAGATGTTGTCATGCTTCTCTTGAAAGTCAGTTCTCTCAGCTTCATCAGCAACGTGCATTGCCAATCTTTCTGCTAGATCAGCATCTTCTGGACTTAGCATTGAATCCATTCCTTCAAGCACATCCTCAGCAGCTCTTTTTGTCAAGAGAAGTGGGTGGTCACATATTTTCTTCAGAATCTGCAGCAAGTCAAATGGTTATTCATCAGACATAGCATGCTTGAAGATTTCATTCTTTTTTAGTCATTCTTGATGAAACAATCAATAAGCACTATATACTTTCCAATCTACACTATTGTCTATCTCAAACAAATGGAAGACAAAATATAATATAAAGATTTTCTGGCATTAGTTCTACTGGTTCACCCATTCGTTTTTGCAAGTTCTGAATGAACATAGCTTACCACTAATGTTGATAGTAATGTTACATTATGAATCCCTAGAAACTCTCAACCACAACATGAACAAATAGAATTTACATGTCCAGCTAATCATACTGACAAAAAGCAGTTCGCGAAAACTTGAAGTTTTAGGAGATCAGGGATAGGACAGATCTGAATCCCTTATAAAATAAAGGAAAAATTAAGCAAATGATAAGTTACTAGCATCATACTAACACAATCTAGGACTCACTCCTATCATGAAAGAATCACAATTTCTAGGGCTAGCATTAAATCACACACTCAAAAGGTAAAAGTATAATCTTCTGTTAACTTAAATAAACTCAAAGGAGATACCATTATCCTAAACCAACAAGGATTCTAAATCGACATAAAATAAATAAAATATTCCTTATTAATCCAGTAACATTGAAATTCAGAACTACCTTCCCTTCAACTTAAAGTTCTTGTTTAGCAACCGTTCATTGAAATAGACACATAAATAATTCTAAAAGGATTACAAATATATGAATAAATCTTAATAAAATCTAGACCATAATTCTAAAATTCTCAATTACTTGAATTTTGAATTTCCTTGATTTCCTTTTCCTCATCATACAACTACAATTGGAATGCAGGAAAGAGAACAATTAACTGCAACAAGTTCAATCATAATTCTATGAGAAGCAATGGAACTACTCCATGTCTTCAAGAGCATTTAGAGGTTGAGAACCATTTTACAAGTGAAACACATTCTAACAATATTCAGTTACTACAAGATCAAACATCTACATCCAATTCTTCAAACAAGTAGTGTGCGCTCATTGCCTTCACTCGGAAAATAAAAGAGTAATAATCAATTATGTAGAACCAATTATGAATTTCATAGTGCAAATAACTTTCCGTTTGTAAACTAATCAGAGGTCAAGATTCAATATAAGAGATGTATGAAAGAGGGGTAATGTGCTTAAAACTTGAGTTCAAAAATCTAAAAACAAGACATTCGAAAAGCATTTTTAGCAAACAATTCAAACCTCATACCAAGAATTTAACAAAAAAAATCACTTGAATTTGTCTAAGTTGTTATCTCATCCCATTAGTTAACAAAATTTACTGATAATCTTTTAGAAACTCATATGACATATATAAATTCTTCATTAGAAGCTTAAATTGCTGCACAGAAATTTCATCCTTCCTTTTAATTTCAACCAAAACAATTGGATTTTTAATTGGCATATGACTGCCCACCAACTACTTTATAGAAAAAGGCCTCCAATATATTTATAAAAACAACAAATTTATGCATATAATATGAATTGTACGTATGTAAACATACACTTATGCATTCACTTACGTAAATGAATAAATGAAACAAAAAGTGTAAAAAGAATACAGCACCGTCAATGCAGCAAGTGGTGAGCCATCAAAAGCTGATAAAACCAGCTCACTCTTCAAAAAGGCTTCATAAAGTTGTCGCTGCACCAAGTAAGGGAACCCATTACATGAATAATCAAAAATACTCCATGAGAATAAAATGGAAATGAATTTTAATAGACACCAGATAAACAAGCCGAACCTGACAAGTAGTAAGCCTTAGCCACACTATCATCTCGTTTTTTTTGGAAAGTGTGGCAGTTGTAGAATCATTTTCCTTAAATACTTCATTCTTCAAGCGACGCAAAAAGTAAGGTTGAATACGCTCTCTTAGCTCCTATGAAATAGATAACACAACTATGAGTTAATTTGGTTGCACTTGCAAAATTTACTCAACCATTAATGACAAGCAATACCAAACAAGTTGCAAGCTGAAAAATTGTAAGCTACAAAGATATGAATCCAACTATTGGACATCTTGTTACAAGCCTAAAGATCAAGAATCTTAAATTGCAACTTCACCCAATTTTACAAATTTACCATTAACCCTTTTTGGATGGCAAGTACATACACCATTGAATATTTGACAGGTATAAGAGTTGAGAACAAGAAATTTAAAGGTCTAATATATAAAAAAAAAATAATCCATCAATCAGTGGTTACTGCTCATCTTGTAACCTTTCAATTATGTAAATAAATAATATGAACGACTATCTAAAACTTTTTACTTAAACACCTCAATTTCATTAAACAAGAAAGAGAGCATAAGAACATCTTTTAGCAAAAAAAATATTAAAGTCATCACCTTTGCTTTAGTTGAGCCAATATGCTTCTCCCTATCAGAAGCATTTTTTTCATTGCCGCGAAGAATGGCGTGCTCATATTTTTCCTTAAACCTAAGGATTTGTAAAATGTGATATCATAAGAAGCACAAATTTAGTCAATCCAACTAAAAGATGAAGAGGGGCATACCACTTGTAATCACCAAGCAGATCAGGGCAACAGAAGTTGAACAAAGTCCACATTTCCTATTTTGAATTGACAAAAGCAACATTTACATTTAAACTTTGCTTCATCTGGGAGAATGTGAAATAACACACGTTAGTTGAGTACAAATAAAAAGATGATACCTTAAGATTGTTTTGAATTGGTGTGCCACTAATGATAATGCGATGAGCACTTGGAATCTCAAGCAAACTTTTTGCTCTCTGTGTGCTAGGATTTTTTATAAGATGCCCCTACAGAATAACAATATAGTGAAAGAAATTAACCACTTATAAATAGTAAAAAGAAAGCACCCCAAGTTATTATTCTATTCAAAAGATAGAAGTTAACACGATGAGACTATCACAATATTGTTTTGGCCCAAGTCAAACAGATTCAAGCGCTTAATGTATGTGTAATTTCTTATCAAAACCAAGGAAAGAGACACAAAGGAAAAGAAATAGAACATCCAAGGTTTTCATATAAAATTAAAAAGTTACAGTGAGTTTTGAATAGAATGAACATGCAAAATGCAAATCTATTATCTATAGCTACATGAATTAAGGAACTTTTTCAAAGAGAAAAACCCAATGGAAAATACGCACTTCCCAGGCTTGGGCTACAACTAATAGCTCCATAATTTGACAAGGTGAGAGAAAAATGTATTGAAAAACTAAATATGGCAACACAATACACACCTCATCAAGTATCATATAATCCCATGTGTATCCATCCTCACTTTCCTCATCAGCAAAGTAGCGATCTCCTCTTAAGGATTTTGAGTTATTTCGCACAATATCATAGGTGGTAAGAAGAATACCTTTATCCTATAAGGAGAACATGAAAGCAAAGACAAAATTAGATGGATGTAATGAAACTAAGAGGGAGGCAGCCAATAGTATTAAAAGGTCTTTGAAACCAATATCAGGAAACATGAACAAAAAAGAATCATGAGAAAGAAATCCCAACCACATATCTATTCATTCTATCAGGAAACATGGACAAAAAAGAATCATGAGAAAGAAATCCCAACCACATATCTATTCATTCTATCAGGAAACATGGACAAAAAAGAATCATGAGAAAGAAATCCCATCCCAACCACATCTATTCATTCTCTGTTTTAAAAAGAACTAGATCTGTCAACTTCCTTCAAGTACCCATTTCATCTTAAAATATAATATTTACAAGTGTTTCTAGGTTCTGATTTACTTGTAGGCATTCATAAATTATCTAGATATTATATCATGTGCCCATATTGGAGTTTAGCACTATCAACAAGGAAAGCATTAGTGAAACCTGAAGTATGTATTGCAGCTCATATTGTCGAGCCTTCACAGATGTCCCAAAGTATCTACATTGAAATAGCGACAATCAGTATATATCAATAAACAATCTTTCTTCTTTTAAAAGAGTTTTGGTCAAACAGTTTTACTCTCTAGTTGCTCCAGAAAGCCCAACAATAGATAGTTCTTTAAGCCAATGAGAAAGTAATGTTTTAGGGGCCACAACCAATGCCCTCTTGATTAACTTCGAATTAAACAATCCCGCTAGGAAGCCACAGATCTGTAAAAGAAAGCAAGTCAAAATTCAATCAATCAATCATATAATGTATGTGAATACAAGAATGCTCCATTTTCTTACCTGCATTGTCTTCCCCAGACCCATATCATCTCCTAATATTCCACCCTTACCCTGACAGTGCAAAGACCACAGCCACTTCAATCCATCACGCTGATGTGGATACAACATTTTTGCAATTTTGCTTCGTAGTTTATACGTACACCTTGGACCAGCCAAAGTAATGAAACCCTCATCCTCCAAAACCGAACTATCTGCATCATCTGACACATCAATTGCACTAGAGCAATTAGATGGCTCCTTGTGATTGCCGCAATTCCTCCCAGCTTCTTGAACCACTTCTTTGCCACTCAAAATCAGACAATCCTCCTCCTCCTCCTCTTCATTCCTAAGGGTAGACACAAAGGATCTTCCTGCAAACCTTAATCTCTCACCCACCCTTTTGGGTTCATTTTTCTTCAGTGTTTGAGTACTTTTCTTAGTTTTCCAATCCCTAGTGACATAGTTCTCACCCTCAGACTCACTTCTTACATCACTTTCCACTTCATCTTCAACATTAGACACAACAGAATCTCTAGCTGTCAACAATTTATTATCAACCCTTCCATATTCATTGTCTGGTGGCCCTCTACAGTAATTTCTGGCCTCATGCAAATAATCACCTCTGGACTTGCTCAACAAACGACTCTCACCACATCCGTCCTCAACACTTTTGATGTCACCATCAACAATCTTATTACCAGATGAAGAATCAGATGCACCTGAAAATGAGGAGCCAGCACTAGCATATTCAGGCAAGTCAACTTTATCCTCTCTATCTACTAAACCCCCTACCAATTTTGGACGATCATCAGCCACCTTGTCAATTTCTCTCCTCTTCTCAATTGACAAAAGGTCTAGCCTGGAGCTCAAGTCATTGAGAATATCCCTGATTTCATTAGCACCCTGATTACTGTGACTGGTAACCATACTTTTAGATGGCAGAGGTGAATCAAAATCAGTAATATCAGAGAAACTGGGTTCATTTTGTACAGCTTTTTCCTCGTCTCGGGATGAGACTTTGCAAAGACGACGTCTCCCTTCTATCTTAACCTTTGTTGGCTTTTCTCCTTTAGAAAACCGTTCCCCAAACAAAACAACAAAATCTTTGTAAACGTACAAATAAAGAGTAAATAACAAGGCAAAGAAATGAAAACTTGATAAATATTACCAGAGGAAGAGTCGAAATCAGTGATGCCAGAGAATCGAGGGATGCTATTGTCATCACCATCAATAACGACAATCTGGTGGGTTTCCATGGCCGATGCTTTGCAGAGACGATTTCGTCCTTCGATCTTCATCTTGTATGGTTTCCCATCTTCCTCTGCATAGCATGCATAATTTATCAATTAATGATCAAAAATGGCCAATCTGCAAGATTAAAACCCTAAAATAAAATAAGAATCAAAATGAGAAATGAAATAAAGAGAGACCACGAGGGGAGGATGGTTTGGGGGGAGCAGACAGGTCTTGGAGAAGGCGATAATGGCTATCGTTTAAGCTAACGGGTTTCCGGTTGCTTTTCCGGTCATCGGCCATTTTCTCTTATTTATTACTTGCAAAGTAGCAGAGAAAAAGAGAAGAGTAGAGAGAGGGGAAAGAGTGAAGTATTAGAAAGAAGAAACCATCCGTAGTGTCGTTTGCTTGCTTGGGTTGTTAAAACTTCAAAAAGGGGAACTGAATCACTTCGGCTTTCATTTTTCCCGCTTGTTAGGCGACATTTGAAATTTTATTTTGCAGAGCCCTCTGCGTTCTCTAATAAAAAAATAGGGCTGTATATGGTTCCTTGCGAGGAACCATACTGAACCGAATTGAAACTCAAAAAAGCAGATGAGATAGGAGAAAGCAAATGGTGCGGAACCGAATAAAATTTATTATTTTAGTTATGATTTCAGTTTGTATAAAAAATTATATTGAAATTGAATCAAAACTATACTAAAATCGAATCGAACTAAAAAATCGATTCGTCTATATATTTTTTCTTTAATGTTTCAGTATATTATATTATTTATAGAAGATATCAAATTTTATTATTTAAAACAAAATCTTTATTAGTTGATACTCTTTAATTAATAATCAAATGAAGTATAAATTAAAATTATTTAACGCACATAAAAAATTAATATCAATTGATTCCTATCATCTTTTATTGTATATAATATTTTAACAATATAATAATTCATAAATATTTATATAGTATTTTACTATATCTATAATTAAAATAAAAAGTGTTTTTTAGACTATTTTATCCTTTAAGTCTTAATTTACTAATACATTTATCGTGTGTCAATAAAGCTACTATCACTTTAGAGATTTCGTGGAACTTAAATTTTTTTTTTTTTTTTGATAATAGACATGAAACTTCATTATTCAATTGTTAATTATGATTTCTTGATTTTTGTAATGTTCATGTTACTACTTTACAAATTGCTTAGAACTTGAAAGATAATCGGAGCTTTCTTTTAATAATGAATAAAAATAAAACTTCATTATTGATTATTATTTTTTAACGTATATCCTTGTATGGTATGATTTTTTTAATGTGCATATATTGTAATTTTATTTTAATATTAGAATATTTTTATATAAAGAAATCTTGTAATGTGTTTTAAAAATATAATAATTTTCAATGCGAAACTAGAACCAGAATCAAAATCAAAACAAAAACCAAAGAACCGAAACCGAAGAACTGTACAGAAATTACACTGAAAATTTGGTTCGGTTCTTTAACCTTCGATTCCAATTTCGATTCCTGAAAATGAAAAAACTGAATTTTCAGTTCGGTTTCAATTCTTCTTAAGAACTATACCGAAAACAAAATTGTACAGCCTTAATAAAAATACTGCAAAGGCTCTAATTTAAGGAATAATAATAATATTATTATTATTATTATTATTATTATTATTATTATAATGATGAAGTTTAATTTGCCCTTGAACTTATACGAAAAATTCAATTACTTCAAAAATCTTCATAATCATTTTAAACCACAAGATTCAATAGGAAATTCAAATAAGAATATATTTAGAATTGGTTATTTATAAATATATGTTTTTAAATAATAAAAAATTAAACTTTTATATATATTAGTAAAACAACCAGCATAATGTGCAGGCCTTCATTTAGTTAATTATAAAAGAGAAAATTTAAAATTCAAACATAGATAATAATTATAAATAATTATTAATATTTAAGTTAAATACAGACAATCAAAATCAAAATGTTGAAAAAATAAAGAAAGAAATAAAAAATTTTAATTTAGATACATAATTTGTAACGTCCCTTCCTGGTCCACCCGTTAACCCGAATGAACCGAGCTGAGATGCTACAATCTGGTTGAACCTATGTTCTGTCATGCTGATATCATCCCTTCATTTAGCTTAATTATTAAAGAGGAAAATTTAAATTCAAACATAATCATAATTATAAATAATTATTAATATTTAAGTTAAATAACAGACAATCAAAATCAAAATGTTGAAAAAAAATAAAAGAAAGAAATAAAAATTTTAATATTTAGATACATAATTGTAACGTCCCTTTCCTGGTCCACCGGGCGTTTAACCCGAATGAACGAGACATGAGATGCTACAATTCTGGTTGAAAACTCGTATGTTCCTGTCATGCTTGATATTCATCCTGTAGTTGCAACAAATATGATTTGTCATGCTGTTGCTTTCGAACAGGTTAGTTTTTTAAGGGGGGAAACTAGAGCTAGGCTTTCGACATTAGTTAGATATAGCTATGTACTTACTATTTACAAGACATGATACTAGTTTCCAAAATGAAATGGGCCCAACTATGTGCCATGTACATGCCATGACAAGTATATACAGAATCAAAATATCAAAATGAATAGCTACCCTGAAGACTGGGTCTTCAAACGATGAACTGCAGTAGTTGCAAATATGACTCTTTACGGTCTAGAGCTAGAACCTGCGAGTTAAAACAGGTAACTCACTGAGCAAATAAAGCTCAGTGGATATCTCAACTTAATAAGAAATAAATAAATAAACATGTAATCACACATACACATAATCAATTATATTTTCAGTGATCTTACCTGCCTTGTTTCATTATGCTGTATGAATTATGTAACCTTTTTTATAAAGTTTACATAATTACAATCCATAACTGTATGGCTCCATTAAAAGTTACAGTGGAAAAAAACCTAAGTGACAAGGAAGAATTGGCATAAACTGGATGAATTATTGTTATGGCTGGACTGCCTATGGACCAGTATATAAATTCATTATCCAACTCAACGGCCTGTAGCCGGAGTACCAAACTGTATGGGCGCACAGATCAAATGGCTTTATCTTAATATCGAACATAGTTTCTTATCTACGTGTTTCTACCTTAACCTATCTACGTGGTTTCTACCTAACCTCAGTGGAGCATATTATTTGTATTTCAATAATACAATAATCATATTAAATTATTTATAAAAGTCATAAACCAAACTGTTTACTTGTATGCTATCTTATTCTATATGTTTCTAACCTGTTTCATGCTTTTTTTGTAGACAAATACAAATAACATCTAATGAGTAAGAATGCAAACAATTGATAACTTGCATGTAAGGTAGAAACAATTGATAAATTGCCAGGGTAGCCTATACATGTGTCACAAATTCTAGCATAACTCTTTCTGCTTAAGTCCAATTCAGGTATTTCTAAATTCTATGGTTAGCTAACACATTAGGATAAAAATATGTCTTCTATCACTTCATCACGTGCGTCTAGAAATATGTGGGTATAAGGAAGTCAAGAGTATTGAGATAAGTAGCAAAATATGTCTTCTATCACTTCTCTGAAATATGTGGGTAAAGGAGTCAAATATTGAGCTAAAGTAGCAACTTCCAGTCTGCCCAGCTGTTGATTTTCAGTTTGCACAGTTTATACCATTTTGGTCATATCTCTCAATTTATAAAGCCAATTTAGGTGATTTCAAATTCTATGGTTAGCTAACACATTAGGGTACAAATATGTCTGCTACCACCTCTCTGAAATATGTTGGTAAATTAGTCAAATATTGAGCTAAAGTAGCAACTTTCAGTCCGCCCAGATTTTGATTTTCAGCCTGCACAGTTTGTACTATTTTTGGGCATATCTTTCAATTTATAAGTCCAATTGAGGTGATTCCAAAGCTCATAGACAGCTCAAACATAAAGGAACAAATAACTCTTCTATACCACTTCCTAATTCCATCGGTAAACAGGTTCAAATTCAGGTTGAAGTTACTAGTCAGTTTTCCAATTCAAAACAAACTTATTTCAGCATGCAAATCAATATCCAATTCATTTATTCAATTGCATCCCGTGAACTAATCGGAGACATTCTCAAAATTATTACTCAACATTCGAGCAACAAATATCTGTATCACTAAAGTCATTCACCACTACACCATATTCTCATGCAAAAAATTTGTTTTAAACTAAAAGAGATATCAAACCCTTTCATAACCAAAAAGCTGGGTTCAACCTTTCTTCTAGGCTTCCTTTTCTCTTCTCACTTTGACACTAAGGCTCACCTCTCCGTATACATTATATCAAACATCTTATTAATTCATCCAAAAATTTCTCACTTAAATTATGAAATTCAAAGAAAAATCAACTTACTTGGATAGAGTTTAGAGGTTGAATTTATATGCTGGAAACGGAATTGAATATTTGAATTTAATGCTTGAAAGGTTGAATATTAAGGTAGAAAATGGAGGAAGATTTAGGAGAAGATGGAGAAGGTAAAGTGAATGGAATTTTCGGGTACCTTCTAAATTTATCTCTAATTGTATGTTACAAAGTACCAAATAGTACCTAACTTTTTAATATTTTACAATTTTTACCTAAACTTTATACTTTATTTCAATTTGGTCCTAATCCTTCTACTTTTATCTTTATGTTTCATTCAATTAAGTCCAATGCAGTTACATATTTAATTTAAATCCCATTCTACCCCATTCTGGACTCTAATGGCTTGAACCGGGTTCTAGTTCGACTCGACTCGACTCGACTCTATGCAACGATTCGATTCAGTCTATGCAACGATTCGATTCAGTAGGATGTCACATAATTTCCCTTTTCAGAGCCTCCATCTAAATGATTAAAGTGTAAGTTTATATTATTTTTATTATTGGAGTTAATATTTGATTAATTCTATGTGCTTTATATTTGATAACTTAGAAATTAATACATTTATACATTACAACATACATAACCACAGCTTTGGTACTATTGGATGACACAAGCAATATCGTAGTTACCGCATTTACAATTTCAAACAATTATATTATGTATTTCTGTACTAACATTATTTTAAATCAAATAACAATATATTCACACGATTAATACGTTGGTTAAATTATTAATTATTTTTCATATTTTAAATTTATTAATTATTTATTCAATGATATATTATATGATATTATATATTATATATTATATATATATATTATAACTATCCTATATATATATATGGTATTTCAAGTATTATAAATAAAAATAGGAACTGTGGCATATATTGAAAGTTATTTTTAGCCTAATTCATAACACAATTAAACATCAAGAGACTCAAGGAGAATTGACGATGGCGACGTCTTAACAATCCGTATAAGATTGAAAAGATATTATCAAGTATTATAAAAATAAATAAATGGATATGAGTTATTTTACCTAATTCATAAAATTAAACATCAAGGCTCAAGAGAATTGACGATGGGTCTTAACCAACGTATAAAGATTGAAAAGTTATTATTCAATGTGGAAATTAAAGAAAAGAAAAAACAAATATTTCTCAATAAGAAAAGGAAGTTAGCTAAAATTAATGTTAGTGAA